TTGGAGAGTTTTCTTCTTCTCACTCTGATACGTTTTAGTAAAGTTGGAGAATTATTTTCTAAATCCCTGTTTAAACCTTCGTTCTCTATTCTAAGCAGCAAAGATGTTTCAATTTAAGGTATAAGTGAATAAATGTGTTAAACCTTTGAATGAATGTAACCAGAAGGGCTTTTATTTTGATATTCTCCACAGGAAGTCTCCTTGTAGCAGCTAGCTTAGTAGCAATAGAATGTCGGACATCGGCAGCGGCGTTTAATAAAGCATTCAGTTGGATAAATATTTATGCTGTCATTATTATGCTGCATTATGATACTACAGCTAACATAAGTAGATTATATAAAAAAAGAGTGTACAGTGCTTTTATTTTGATATTCTCAACAGGAAGTCTCCTGTAATGTAGCAGCTAGCTTATGGTAATTTTGTTCTGAAATGATCAAAAGTTGTTTAATACAACATTTGGTTGGAGATAAATTCATATTACTATGATTATATAGCTACAGCTAACAAACAGTTTTATTAATATTATTAATAAAACTGGGATATTAATATTACATTAATAATAATCCACCAATGTCTGTAGCTAACAACCAAGCTAACCAGTAAAGCAGTCTGCAGCTCACTCTTCATTACATCGGATAAAAACTGGCAGTAAGACTGAAGTCTCAGACAAACATTCCAAGTCAGATCAACAGCATCTCCGCAGCATGATGCTGCCGCCCCCGTACTTTACAGAAGGGAAGCTGTCTGTTAGCTTCACCCCCACCTGCTTCCACAGGCATCAGTAACATTTCCACTTTCATAAAATTCACACCTCAACTCCTCCATAGGAGCATCACCTCAAACTTTCTGCTTAAAAATCAACTCACTGCAGAGAGTTTCCACTGACCAGCTTTCTGCTCTGATATTTTATATCTGCGTAACAATGTTGACCGTTTTTACCCCCCAATAGGCTGACTAACCAAACCTGACTAAAGAAAGGCCGAAGGGCTAAAGTAGGAGGACCTGTTAGTTATTTATTCTCATCGGCTGCGTAGCGACACAAGCCGCTCTAAGTGAAGCTCTGTTGCCAGATGTGGAGGAAACCCAGCCCAGTTCCTGAAGGGGTCAGACAGGCTTCAGCTCCTCCAAGGTGCTCTTCGTTTCCTCCGCTAAAACATCTGAGGAGCAAAACGCACAGCAGAGAAACTCCCAACACGGTCTGGTTTGTGCTGCAAATACCTGGTTACACTTTTATGTCTTACTAAAAAAGTTACTTATAAGTTAGTATTGTCTTAATTCAAGTATAATAAAATATTTGCACCAGAAACTTAACAAAAATACTTGGTGTAAGATTTTGTGTTTTTGCAGTGTGGGGTCTGCAATTTAACCAATAAAGCTCCACATCAGACGAACATGATGCAGCTACTGTTTGAAAATAACTAAATGTTCAGGAATCACATGCAAAAACAAAACATTAACTGGATTTAGTTTCTATTGTAAATATATTAAAACTCTTGAAATAAGACAAAACTAACTTAAAAGTAACTTTTCAACAAAATACAGGAGCTGGTTTAAAGTAAATAAATCCAAATAATGATGAAAAATCATTCTGTATTTTTGATCAATATTAAGGAATTATTCACTTAAACTTTGTTACGTAACGTCTCAGTTAGTTTTGTCTTATTTCAAGTGTAATTATTACATATTTGCACTTGAATCTAGACCAATAATTATTTTACTTTTGGGGTGAACAAGTCTGGAGAGGCCACAGTTCCTGTAGTTTTAGTCTCCACCATGCTAGTTGAGTTAAAATACAGATTTGAGCAAAACTGAAAGGGAAAACAAATGTTTAGATGTGTCAACAGGTGCAGCAGCACTTCTTCCTTCAAAGGTCGCAGCATCAGAGCAGACTGCCAGCAAGCGCTGCTCTGCTGCAGATGCATGCAGATGCATGCAGCGTAGGTTTATTATTAAACCGGAGTGCGTCAGAGGAGGCGGCCTGCAGATACACCATCAGTCCTGCTGCACGCAGGTCTGCGTATCACCATCACCAGAAATAAGGAAGGTGTCAAGTTTGGTCACCCGCAGCGTTTTACAAAACTGAGGCAGTCGGTGGTTATCTGCTGTTTGGAGCCTGGATGTTGCAAGTTATTCGGCTGTCAGAGTAGAAATCTTAATATTTTATTATAGTTTTTTTGGCAATGAGCTTTAAAACATCCCTGGCAGCTGGTTCCCTTTGTGTTCAACCCAAACTATCACTTGGAAATCCCTTTTCTACCACATAAAACCAGACTGCGGTTTTAAAAAGGAACCAGCAGAATTACAGCTCAGCGTGAAAACAACAACATAACGGAGAGGAGAAGCAGAAACAGCCGGTCAGAAATACGAAGGGACAACGACCTGAAGACGCAGAGCAGATTAAAAACCAATCATGAACTACCTGAAGACTGCACACAATGAAAATAAGACAATTATAGCCTCAAAAACTTACAGCCATTTGTAAAGTTACCAGTTAACAATAGTTTGAGTTAAAACCAAACTAAATCTTTTTCACCATGTTATTCAGTATTTTATAAATGTCACAGTTTCAAGCTAAATATTCAGTTTATCTTCTATACTTAGCTTCAAGCTAATTCTTCAGTTAGTTTGCAGCTGGATTTACAGAAGCAGCAACAGTTTATTCCTCAGATCATCAAGAATAAAACCAACTGCAGCCTAACAGTGAAGGACAAACCACCTGGAATCCACAGTTTCCACCTAAACAAGTAAAATACCTTTTACCAAATACAAACACATTTCTGTTTACTTTTTATTCATATTTTATGTTTTATCCTTACACCATAAGCACCTTTATGAAACACCACAAACAATCCCCCCCTTCCATGGCCTCTCCCAGAACCTGTAAACGGTGCCCGGACCCCGGGGAAGTGTCTGTCCAAACACAGGAATGTCAGGTTCCTCCATCTCCACACTAATCAGATCACACACAAACATTGGCTCAAGTTTTACAAACCAGCAGCTCTGAGTAACAATGATCCTCCTTCAGAGAAAACCTCCTCACTCCTCGGCGGCGCACAGCCCCAGGCTACATGCTAACAGCTGAACATGGTCAGCAAATAGTTAAAACTTCTTGTATGCAAATTGTTATTGATTCATAAATCTATTCTTAAGGTGCAATGGTAAATAAAGTGCTTGTTAATAAAATGCAAAAAGTGCTCTTCAAGTGCTACACAGTGACTGAAGTAAAAATAGTTCAGTTAGCAAGCTAAACGTACTCTGAAGCTACGTATGTAGTGAGCAAACTAAACATTTATATTCACACTAAATATTTAGCTTGATGCAGTATTTAGTTAGCAATTTGAAAATGCAGTTTACCAATAAATACTTAGCTTAACTAAATATTTAGTTTCAAACTAAATATTTTGTTTACCAACTACGTAGCTTCCTAATAAAATATTTTGTATGAAGCTAAATATTTAGCTTATTTATTTAAAATGTATAAATGAATGAATAATATGGTGAAAATATGATTTTTTTCCCTGACAGGCAAAATAAGTAAAATTACTGTTTCATTTTTAACTGTGTAACTTTACAAACAATGCCTCATAAATATTAACCTCTACAAACCAACTGAAACCTTATCTGACAAGATAAAACTCTTTAATCTGTACATTCATATCACACCTTGCAAAACTTTTAACGCCGCTCAAACTTTTTCACTTTTTATTGCGTTACAACCACAAACTTTTACTCATTTTATGGGTTAAACATGACAAGGTGCTCTGCTCAGATTAGACTAAAACCAGAGACAATAAACACACTGTTCTGTTAAACATGGTGGTGGCAGTATCATGCTGTGGGGATCAGTGAGGCTGGTGAGAGATGATGGAGGGAAGTCCAGGATAATCCAGGAGGAAAACCTCTTACACATATCATGGGATTATGGATGCACGGATATCAAAATTTGATCCAATATTGATATCCGATATTGATGTTACTGTTTTGGACGATAACCAATATTTACCAATATTAAATATATTTGTCAACTTTTTGACACCTTTGGGGAAAAACCCGACCAAAAACAGACGGCAGAGGTCGTATTTATTAGGCCGATACTGATGTGTTGAAAAATGACTAATATCGGTAGATCCCGATGTTGGTGCCGATATATCGTGCATCGTTATATGAGATGGTTGAGATCAAAGCTGATTCAGTTTTTCTAACGGCCTAGTCCAAGTCAATTATTAAAAGAATGAATAATTTCCCTTCCACTTTCAGATCCGGCATCGCTTTGTGTTTGTCTCGTTATCATTCAGTATCATTTCTGCAGAGTCAGACAGTTACATTAACTCAGTTACATTTACTTGAGTAACTTTTTTTGAAAAAAAAAAACTTTTAGGAGTATTTTTTACTACGCTGTACTTTTTACTTTTAGTCAATAATTTTATTATGAAGTATTTCTACTTGAGTAAAATTTCTGGATTTTCTACCCACTGAATAAAAAAACATATTTAAACCAAAGATTCACCAAACTCAGACAGTTTCTGCAGTTTCTGTTAAAGTTTCAGAAGTTTTTTACTGGAAAAATTGATTTAGATTTTTTTTGTCTGATTTTATTTTTTGTTATTTATATAAATTGTTGTAATTCTGGTTAAATATAAAGTTATGTGGAAGTTTAGGTATTACTATTATAATACCTAAACTTCCACATAACTTTATATTTAAGTCTGATTATGGAATTTTTAAGTATGAAATTATTGATAATTTGATCAGTTACTCAGTACTAGATTAACTTTTTACCAAATTCTTTTTTACTGATTCATTTCTTGGACGGCTACTTTTAACTTTTACTTGAGTAAAATATTTTTTAAAGTACTGCTACTCTTACGTTAATTCATTTTTTGGCTACTGAACCATCAGACAAACACCATCAGGGCCTTCTCGGGTCCACGGGAGACCCGGAAAGCGGACCGGAACCACCATGCAGGTCCAACAGTCGGTTCTGATCAAACTTTTCTTACCTTGCTGCCGATCCGAACTGCTTCAGGATGCTGAGAGACTGCCGCAACATGCTGGCGCTGGAGTCCTACCCGCTCCGCTTCCTGATCCGAACCGGTCCGGAGGCGCTCCGGGCCGGGCTGCTTCACCGGGAGCTGGAGGCGCAGGTGAGCCGGGTCGCGCTGCCTCTCGTCGTGAGTGTTTCTGCGGCTGTTCGGTTTTCGTTCTTGTTTCAGCAAATGAGGAAGTTGCTCGGATGAAACGTCAGCAGCGAAAGGGAACCAGATGTTTTCCCCCGGTTGTTGTTGTTTTTTTGTTTTTTTATTTCAGGGTGTCACTCTGAACCCCCCACTGAGTCTCAGCAGTGGGTAGGTGTGCAGGTGAGCGGCAGGTGAGTCCACGCTGCAGCTTCTGTTCCTAACGGTGTTAGCTGCTGCAGGATGTGAAATGTCTGAAAGGGGAAACTCGGCGTTGATTGAGACATTTCTGTCCCAGTTTTCAAACATGTTCTGATTTTACTGCAGCGAGTTTTCAAATGTTTTGCAGAAGCAGGAATCACATTTTCAGAGCCGGTTGGGTTTCACTGCAGCGTGAGCCTCTGGTTCATCAAAGTTTCATTTCTTGTCACCTGTCGCCTTTTTTGAGGAACTTCTCTTCATACATCAGAGCCAAAAACGACCATGAGCAGAACCAGAAACTGATCAATTTATTTAAAATGTGTCGGTCCAGGAAGAGATAAACCTTCCACCAAATTTTTCTTTATAATTTGTTATAGTCTCATTAATATTATGACAAACTGTAGGAATTTAAATATAGGCGGTAAAGCCGCTGATAACGCAAGTGCCTGACAGATGCTGCCGCCTAGTGGTGGGGCCGACTAAATGCACACAAACGATTTTTCAGATTTCTCTCGGAAAAAAAGAGAAATATTTCTCTCGGTTATTTTGAGCTTTTTTAAAAATATATTTTAACTCTATTAATATCTACATGTGGAGGAAGCTGCCACAGACTTCAGACCGGATCAAGTTTAATTTCTTTAGCATTTTTTGTTAGCACCGCCAACTAGCTAACACGGGCTAACATTCGCTCGTGAATTTATTAGCGATATTTCAGACCAAACCAGGAATATAGAGGCTGAAGTTGCTCACCCAGAGTTTGCATGAATTAGAGAAATTTAATTATTTTGTTTATTTCTTAACTTTACAGCGAAGCTATTGAAAGAGTTCTAGCTAACTCGGAAGAAGTTGTCTTAACATGCTGTCTGAAGCAGCCAATCAGACGTCAAGGTCGTCATACAAACAGCCAATCAGAGGTCAGCTTATCTACATATGTCATTATAATCCCACCCACCGAATTTAAAGGAGGAAGTTGGCAGTTTAAATTTATTTTAAACGTATTTTTGATGCGCTTCAGCGAAGGAATATAAAATTTAGTCAGTTATGAAAAAAATATATATCTACACTTTAAAATGAAATCAATACATTTAAATCATGTACATATAAATCTAAATGTAATAAATTTATAATTTTTCTGTTTTAAGAAATTCCTGAGGTTTAAGTAAATTCGTAAGTCATTTATTTATTGTAATTTGGCAATTTTCACTTCATAAAAAAACTCAATGGTTTTATACCTGCAAACCAACTTGTTTCTGGGTGGGTGAATATTGAAGGACATCATGAATAAATGTGGAAAATATCTTAATAAACCAAACGTCATACTTTTTAGATGCATTTGAAAGGAAGCCCAAAGTTTTTATTTAGATTTGTTTTAAAATGAAGGAAATCCTCATGAAACAAAACCAGAATAATCTTGTTTTATTCAAAAAAACTTAAAGCAACATTTAATAGTAACTGTTTATGAAATAGAAACCTACTTCATGACATTTAAACCTGCAATACAACAAACCGCAAACTGTTGTTTTAACAGTTTCCTGTCGTCTCTGCATCAGCGGCTTGACTTGGAAAACAAAAGAGCATAAAAGTCCTCACTGTAAAACTTTAGTTAGATCAACAGGGAAATATTTGTGAATCCAAAGGAATGAAACTTTTAGCAGCTTTAGACGTAAAAACCCTGGTGAGAAATAAGGAAGAGGCTGTGAAACACTCAGAGGTTTTTCTCCAAATGTTGCATCCGTCGTCCTCCGGCGTTGCTTCACCCATTTTTCTGTCCATGCTGTCCCAGAAGTCCCCGTCCCTCCGGTCGGAGGACAGGGACGTTCAGGAGACGCTGGCTGTCCGTCCACTTCCTCCGTTCCCCTGAGACTGAAATGTGTGACGCTCCAGGTGAGGCGCTAACGCTTAGCTTGGGCCTCTTCAGCTGCAGCAAAACAAGAAGCAGAGTTTACTGGTCACATCCATTTTAACACAATTTTAACTTTCATGGTTTTTATGTAGTTTTTGAATTTGGCTGCAAACTTAATGATTATTTTAGTAATCGATTAACTGGAACTTTCTGAAGATTTTTCATTTCAAACTTTATTTATAAGGCATATTTATTTATGCTGACCAAAGAGCTTCACAACATCACAGGTAGATAAACGACAAAACAAAAAATAAAATCAAGTTTGGCAGAAATAATCAGACAATTAGAAAATTGGCAGAAAATATCAAAAGCTAATAATATTAGTAGAAATCAAGACACTTGTTTTCAGCTGCAGCAAGTTACCAAAGAAAAACAAAAAGCCTGAATCAGTGAAGTAATAATATCCCCAATTTCTAATTTAAAACTATGTTTTAAATCTTTAATAAGGTATTAATTTATTTTATTTCATTTAAATGTTTTTATATGATGTTAGAAAAATATTTAAAAAATCAAATAATTTAATTATATTTTTAAAAAAGAAAATCAACATTTTCATTTTCTTTCTTAATGGTCAACAACAGGATCCTTCAGTGAATGTTTGATGATTTGTAGCAAAAGATGCAACTAAAGTACGGCACCTCTCTTCCTGGCGGCCTCCTCCCTCTGCTTCTTGATGATGGCCAGCCGGGCCAGGTCGGCCCTGGCCTGCTCTGTCTTCCCCTCCAGGTGGAGCTTCCTGTAGCGTTCTGCTGATTTCTGCTTCTCGATCTCCTCTCTGAGGAGCAGAAGGAGGGAAAGCCTCAGCGGCGGCGCCTCAGAGCGACTCCAGGAGCAGCAACGCGGCGCCTACCTCTCCCTGCGGCTCAGCTCTTTGGGCGTGCTCACGTCCACCTCTGTCACCTTTTTGCTCTTCTGAGAAACTCGGTTTGGATTCTCGATTTCTATGAGGCCCTCCACGCCGCTCCTCTTCCTAGACTGGGTGTGGAAAACAAACGGTTACAGCACAATATTGTGAAACAGTTAATAAACTTTTTATTCAAAATCGAACCTTAAAATGTAAAGACATTATATATGTAGAAATACTGGAGATAATGTTTAAAGCAGGGGTGTCCAAAGTGTGGCCCGGGAGCCACTTGTGGCTCTTGGGCTGATTTTGTGTGGCCCCTAACTGAAAAGTCCTTTTCTGGTTTGTAAAGCAGAATTGAGTTTTTGTTTCCTTTTGTTTGGTAATTTACCAAAATAAAGTGAAGAGCATCAAAGTTTTCAGTAAGACGCTCTGCGCTCACCTCAGACTCGTCTTCACTGCTGCTCTCCTCCTCTGACTCTGAGCTCTCCTTCTCCGCTCCGCCGCTCTCCTCCTGTCAAACCACAGATGTCTGCAGACGAGTTTCACAGGAAATCTGGTTCTTTCTGCCGCAGGACCTTCACTCACCTTCTCTCTCTGGAGTCTCATCTGTCGGTCGATCTCCTCCGGGTTGCTGAACTGCTTCCCTCGGCCCTTGTGGCCCTTTTTTCCTGCAGGATTTAGAGAAATCATTACTGTATGAACAAACGCTAGCTGAGCTTCACCACAGAAAATCTGACATCCAAACATTTCTATTATGACCTTTGTTTACTTTCTCTTCTCTGACTCCATGATTAATCTAATATATCAACTTAAATTCTGCTGCCATAAAACTCTTAATAGTTTTGCTTATTCCAGAGGTTCATTGAGCTTGTTAATAATATTAATTGTTATTATTCTTGTCATGAAAATAAATATTTCTGGATGATGAATCGTCCCAGAAGTTATTGCGATAAAGGATAATATTGTAGTTTTGAGAATATTTTATAGTAATATAACAGTAATGGTATAATAATAATGTAAGAAAACATTCTCAAACATCAATAAACTTTCAATTCTAATGAACATTTAACACTGGAGCTGGAAAACATTTTAAATATCCAAAATACACAAACAACAGAAATGACAAATAAAATGAATTATTAAGTCTCTGTAAACAAAACTGACCTTCATAAAAAGGCTGGTTGAGACCAGACTGAAGACTTATCATCCAGTTTTTGGTAGAAAAATGATAAATTAAGCAAATGGATATTATTAAACTCATTTTAATTTATCATGTGATTAATTAATTTATTGCGACAGGTCTAATAATAAAACATTTTATTTGCAGACGCCTTCATCTGCACTGAAGGACGGACATCTTAAAATATACATAAAATGACAAAAGTGAGTGTCTTTAGTCAGAATCTTCTGCAAGTTCACTGTAATACTGACTGCTACAGGAGATCTCTCCTGCTAATAGCCATCATCATCATCCACAATGACTCTGAAAAGTTTAACTAGGCCTGTTGCAATAAACTAATCGCTTGATAAATTAAAACAAAAACAAATGTTCATCAGAATTATAAAGTTTATTTATCTTTGAGCTGAAATCAGCTCAATTTCACACAGGGTTGATAAAACGGGAGTGTGTTAGTTTCATAAACTGTTAGTATTTCTAAAATAATAGCTTTCTATTGTTTTTTCCTTTGATTGTGTTCACTTCCTCCACCCAAAGCTGACTGCAGATTACTGCTAACATCTCTGCTGTAAACAGATAATTGATCATAAAGGATTAAATACATGTTGAGACATCTTCACATAACATGCAATCCTACCGTTCGTCCACTAGGGGTCATCAACCTAAAATGTTCACGTAAGCTAATAGGGTTAAATCTACTCTTGCTAAAAGTAATTATACACATAAAACGAACAATTTAAAAAGGTAGATATAACATCTATGTTATCTTTTTATGTCGGCTTCACCGGCACATATTAGAAATGATAATTTTATCATAAATAATATCTGTGATCTGTTAGCCACCTAGCATGCTAACAGCTAAACATGTGCGAGTTGAACGGATTTTATTAAACTTTTAGCAGTCGGAACAGAAGAAAATACTCACCACCGCGCGGCATTGTTTCCTGTTAAAGACTCCAAAGACGAAAAAGTCAACGAACCATCCAAGGAGTCAAACAGAAGACCGTAAAGACTGTGATTTAAGGTGCTGAAATAAAAGGCTAAGGAGTAACTACTTTGTCTCTCGCGCTGTCAGCCTACTCGATGATATCGGCGCATGCGCAAAAGTGAGGACTAACCCAATCGCTGTACAGACTGAGCTGAGAATCCTCCAATCAGATTAGGAGACACCATCTCCAGCAGCCCATTCACAAAATACAGAGAAATATTGATCCGACTGTGATCAAATCAATACCGTGGGGTCATTTAAACAGAGCTATAAAGTAAAAAAGTAAAAGTATTTCTTTACTGTACTGATTTTTCAGGTATCTTTACTTCACTTAAGTATCTGTCCTTTGGACAACTTTTTACTTTACCCACATTTTAAGAGAAATATTTGTACTGTCTACTCCGTACATTTTGCATAATATTATCATTACTCCTGTGATGAAAAAAATTATGATGTGGAGTCAGATCAAATCAGGAGTAATCCTCCGCTCATATAAAAAAGTGTGTTATAGTGTCGGTATTCATTTGGATTCAACCAAAGCAAACAGAAGAAGGAAAACAAACACAACACGGATGGAAACGTTAACCTGAGTAAACAACAGAGGAACACATCCAGACACGCAGATAATCCACAATGACTATCTGTGTCATTTTTTATAAAAAAAAACAACATGTGAAATATTTCTGCAAAACCATTGCTGTGACTGGGTTAAATATTACTAAATTATTCATGTACACATTTATATATAGGCACCAAAACAGAAAAGATCACAGATTAAGTGATATTTTATATTGAATACACATTTTATTTTGAAATCCAAACAGCATTCTACAAAAAAGAAACAGTGATATTGAATCACAGGTAGGAGTGAGCCTTCCAGATGTTTATAATAAATAATGACCGGGTTATTTATTTTTATTATGATTAATTCTTCCAACAAAATTGGATTTTTTTTTAACAAAGAACAAACATTTTGAATTTGTCTTTTGTTTCCAAAGCTAAGAAAAAACAAAAAAACAAACAAAAAGCACCAAAACAGAATAATAACGATGTATTAAAATGTTTGTCCAGATTTTTCATTTAGAATTCATATAAAAAAAACAACGCAGAAAATTATAAGAGAAAGTTAGTTATTTTTGAATGCAGTTTAGACGTAAAGTGTATAAAAATAGGCTGTATGTGGAAATAATCACAGACGAAAAGAAATATTATATTTTAAAAATGGGACAAAAACAGGAAGCAGCTGAATCGACTTACATCCTGTTAAAAGCTGAATGTCTTATTGTGAGGATAAATGACTCATAGTTTCATTTTACTGCCTTTTATCTTTAAAAAACTCTAAAAAAAAAAATCTAACTAGAGTGGATTGTCATTTTTTTCTTCGGTGTTGAGTTTTCATGTCTTCGATTTCTTTCTCCATCAGGTGGTACTCCACTGTAGTTTCTGTCAGCTTGAAAGAAGAAATTAAATTACAGAATGCAATACTTTAATGAATTTATTAACATAACCAGAAAACATGGAAAGTAAAGTGCAAAATAAAATATAAAATGTTTTACAGAGCCAGTTTGGATAACAACTAACAGGGGTTTGAAATTCATATCATCTTTATTATTATTTCATAGTGAAAAGACAAAATTAGGCGTCACCATGTCCATCAGAACTTCAATCTTTGATTTTAGGAGGTTATTTTCTTCCTCCAGCTGCAGATTTCGTTTCTTAAGCCGCTGCACCTCCTTAGTAGAAGCATTTCCACCAGATTCTGGTTGTAGAAAAACATTAACATCATCTGATAACGGCCACATTCAGAAGAATTAGTCTGAATAAAAGCCGTTATCCTCACCTGTTATCCACTGTCCGTCCTCGAATTTCCAGCTCTGGCCTCCTAAGTTCATCGCAGGAGGTCCCGACTCCAGGCCAAGCTCTATTTCTCTTGTTGAGCGATCCAACTGAAACACAAGACAAACGATTATCAGATCAACTTTATATGTTTCGAGATCTTTCCAGGTAAAATAAACAAAATTACATTACTGGTACAATGAAGCTCTGCAAACAGAGGAGAGCCGAGTCCCCAAAAATATAACAAAAGTAAGAGTAGAAATAATTCAACATATTTTTACTCAAGTGAAATAAAAGATAGCCATCATAATAAGAGTAAAAAAGTATTTGGTAAAAAGTCTGAGCAACTGATCAAATTATCAATCAATTCATATTTAGAAATGACATCATCAGATGAGCCAAAAATAAAAATCAGTACAAATTTTGGTATTTTAAAGGACTAATATTACAATAATTCATACAACAAAAACAAAATCAAGCAAAACATTTTTTTCCAAATCACTTCCTTTCAATAAAAACGTCTGAAATTTTAATAAAAACTGCAGGTGTGTGTTTTTCATTCAGTGGGTAGAAAATCACTCAAGTAAGAGTAGAAATACTTCATAATCCAATTATTACTAAAGTTAAAAGTACACACAAATATAAAAAATAAAAATTACTCCCAAAAGTACATTTAAAAAAACTTATTCAAGTAAATGTAATTTAATAAATACAACTAGTTACTACTTAACTCTGGTTACAACCATAAACTTCATTTCAGTTTATTTGGGTTTTATGTGATAAAGCAAAACAAAAAGAGCAGAATTGTGAATAAAATACAAAACTGCTCACAGCATCTCCTTCCACAGCGACACATTTCATTTAACTTTGGGATAAATGACGTTTTTTGAATTAGAATTTGAATCTGAATTGAACTTATTAAGTAGGTGACGTATTTTCTGGAATATGAGCGTAAACTCCAAATTATCAATGAAACACTCTGAAGTTTGTGGTTATAACGGTACAAATTGTGAAAAGATTGAAAAGTAAAAATATTTTCGGATGGTACCGTATGAAGGCTGGACAAAGATGCAGATTTGCGAGGCGGAGTCTTCTTCGGGCTGAATGTATTTCCAAACAGCGGCATCAGGGATTTTTTAAAGTCCTAAGAGACAGTACACCGATGATGATGTTCAGTGAATTTAACTCAGAAGTCTCGTTGCTACAGCCTGTTTTTGTCGTTGCTAACGACACCAAGTTACTCCAGCAGGTGAACAACAAAGACGTCCTGAGAGAAACACTAATTCTTGAAAATAAACCTTAACACTAAAATAACTAAAAGAACTTTAAATGTTACCTACAATATTTACCTCCATGGAGAAAATTTATTTAACGACCTAACGTCAAATTATCTTCTCTCCAGTCAAGGATCCTAATGCGCAAGCGCGGAACTTACCATCACTCCAATATAGGAGTATCGGCCTTAATATGACCCAACTTTACCCCTAACTTAAATATTAGCTACTAATCGTTTTTCTAATGTTTATGTAATAAAAATATATTAGGAGAGCTACATAAAAATAATAATGTAATATATATATAAATATTTTGCATCTAAACATCCGAATAACCCCTGTGATAATGGTACCGCTCCGGAGCCTAACAGGACCGTAAACAGCAAAACCGTTAACGTGACTAATCCAAATAATCCAAAATTAAGTTCCTCTTTATTATGTTAATAAATCGTCTAAAAAAAAATGAGCAACACAATCCTGACAATATTCAATCCTGCTATGCAATTGTGCTAACAAATAGTATCACGCTGATGGGTTTTCTTACGTAGCCCCAGTGGCCTAATGGATAAGGCACTGGCCTCCTAAGCCAGGGATTGTGGGTTCGAGTCCCATCTGGGGTGACTGTTAATTTCTTTATCCTTACTTCAACATTGTGTTTTTAGTCATTTAACAAACAATTTGGGAAGTATTTTTCTGCCGACTATCATCATGAATTCTTGACCGCTGTCGCACTAATTTTCGGTGTTACTCTCCGTTCAGAACCTCATATATGATGAGGAAACCGAGCATCTGTTTGTGCGTCCTGCTGTGCTCTGTGGCTGCATCGCTGGATGGAGTTGGAAGACAAATTAGCAAGGTGCAAATTTACCGTGAGTAATGCACTTATGTTTGGTTGTATAACTAACTGAACTGATTAAATATCCAATATGTTAGACGCAGTTATTTAATATTTTTGGATGTGAATTAACAGGAAGGTTTTTTCCTACTTCCATATAGTTTTGCCATTGACATTAAAAAATATGCTTAGAGAAGATTAGTAATCACTAGAAATATTATTTTGCATCAGCTGTTATTTAGTCATATATATAACATAATTAGAAATCTGTGAAATCAGAATTAGTTTTCTTATTGCAATGTACCCATGTCAAATCCAGCTTTCAAAAGTATTAAAATATATATTTACATCTATAAAAAAATAAAATAAAATCAATAAAAGCTATTTCTTTCTTTAAAATGGTGCCATGACATTATATTACATAAAGCGTTATCTAACCTCAACCCTGTAACCCTGTCCATCCTGGTACAATGGTAAATCTCCCAGAGGCCACGGTGAACTGGGATGCTGCCCAGAAGAGCGTGACCCTGCAGGAGGGGGTGATGGCGCGGGACGGGGGCGCCTGCGGATTCTTCAACGACTCTCTGCTGCTCTCTGGATGGGGCGTGTTGGAGATCCAGGCCGGCTTTGGAGGAGCGCCGCAGGACGATGAAATCACATTTTACCTGGCTGGTTACCTGGAGGGCTACCTGACTGCTGGGTGAGCCCACTAAACTGACTGACAAAAAAACAAAAATGTTGCTGGAACACAGATAAAAGCTGATGTTTCATCATACAAACGATACAACGTTTTGTTTCTGACATCACATCAGTTTTACCAACATTATTTCTAATGTTGACTAAATCAATCAATCAATCAAATTTTATTTGTATAGCATATTTCAGCAGCAAGGCATTTCAAGGTGCTTTACATAAGAACAGCTTGTGACATTGAATAAACAGTAAGAAAGAGAAAGAGATTTTGAAGAAAAAAAATAACATACTTTTGTTAAGGAATTTAAATAACAGAGCTCCCTTTTATCTATTTAAATTTTGAAGTTTCCATCTGTCTCAGCATTTGAATTGTAATATTTGGGCCCAGATCTGTTACAACACATTTTCTGGACAATAAATAATCCCAGAAGTTATTGTGATAAATGATAATATTGTTGTTTTGACACCATTTTCAAATAATATGATAGTAATACCAGAACACATTCTGACAGATCAATAAGCTTAAAATGCTAATGAAGATTTAACCATGGAACTGGAAGACATTTTAAATATTCTAAATAAAACAATAAATAAAATCAATTGTGAACTCTGAGATAAACTGATATTGTTCAGTTTGTAAAGAGTGAATGGATAAACTTCACCCAGATGTTTTTCTTGCTTTTCCTGCAGACAGATGTTCAGCCATTACACCAACATGTTTCCTCAGCTGGTCAAGGATGAGCGAGTTTTAATGCCCTTAAAACACTTCATCAGGTATGATGACTTTCAATCATTTGTGATATCTTAAAATAAAGTAATTTTATTTACATGGCACATTTTCAGCAACAAGGCAACTGAAAGTGCTGTACATGAATTAGAAGGAAGGAATTAGAATGAACTAAGAAAACGAGGAGTTTCAGCCTAAACTCATTCTGAGTTTGAAAAGTCAAATATGTGCTAAAACAAAATCAGAAATGTTGAGATTAATCTCAAGTTGAACATTTTGAAAAGTGGAAAATGTTTGACTTTTCAAAATGAAAAACTTCCAAATTTTTCCTAGAAAATTTCTGATGTTAATTTCACTTTTTTATTGAACAAATTTTAAACTTTTCAGTCTCAGAAATTTTTGAAATTAATTTGCTCCTCCTTTTCTTTCTATCTATAATGTCCCTAATTATAAATGTGACGCATTTATTTCTGCTGGATCCGCAGCAAACAGGACAGCTGGGCCAGAGAGCAAGCGGCTCAGAGGAGGAACAGCGACCCCCTGTGGAAGCATGTGGGACTGATCCTGGCCCAGCTGGACGGGCTGCACGCTGGAGCTGCAGAGTGGGCCAAAAGCAGACACAGGGAGGTGTGTGTGTGTGTGTGTGTGTGTGTGTGTGTGTGTGTGTGTGTGTGTGTGTGTGTGCGCTGGCGCCCTCTCAGACTATCACTTCATTAATCTGTGCCTCTCGCTCAGGCCCTGCCGCTGTTCGCGCTCCAGTTCCTGAATGGTGTGGGTGACCTCCTGGACCTGGTCCCGGCTCTGACGCCTCGCTCCAACTCCTCGGCGGGCTCGGCCGCCTTCAGGCGGCCCGGGATGGGCCTCTGCACGGCCCTCATAAAGGTCAGGCTGAGCCGTGTTGGACCGTTCAGCAGCTCTGGCTGCTTTTATGAGCAAAAGGTCAGAGAGAAAACGGGGTCAGCGGAGCGTTGGTCTGCACTTCTTTCTTTACTTTCCTCCTTCTAAAGAACTTGTGTTAAACATAAGGCTCGGGGGCCAAATCTGGCCCACCACAGCTTTTTATGTGGCCCTCTAGAGTCCACTTGGACACACAAGTATAACAAATATAATAAGCATAAGTTAACAGTTGTGTGTTTAAAAATTTTATTAATCAAATCAAAGCAATTTTTATTTATATAGTGACAAGTTACAAGTATAGGGGCCTCCATAGTGTGGCCTGGGGGCCATTTGCGGCCCATGAAATGATTTTAGGTGGCCATTGGTCAGAATTCATTTTTATTCTGTGGTTATTAAATTTAGGCTGCCGGTTAATACAAATTTAAAAACAATTTTTAGGGAGCAGCCTTTCCTAAAAGAGATAGACAATTTAAAATCTTAAAATAGGAAATGTAAGAGGGGACAATTTTCTGTTTTAATATGATTTATTAGTAAAATCAGCCATTAACATTCAGTAACCTCTGATAAAATGTAGACTTTGGTATTCCCTTTTAATAAACTTTTCAAAATGAACCAAGACTGAGAAAAAATACAAAAAATGTAGAAAAATGTGATAACCCAAACATTTAAGTTTTATTGTTTTTTTTAAACATGGCAAAAGTGAAAAGCTTCTATTTTAAATCTACAATAATGTATAGATTGGTTAGAGAACAGTCGCTGCTTTCATGGTTAGTTTACGGCTGATCAGGTAAAACGGAAAACAAAACAATAGTTTTTGCAATTATGATAAAAAACATACAAAAAAGTTTGGTCAGGCAAAAACATGGAAAATGAACTTTAAAGTCAGACCGAGCCAACCCTCCTGATAAACCGGTTGTGTTTCTGTGTGGGTCATCGTGACGTCCTGCTCTCTGTCGGCTGCTCAGGTTCTGCCCGGCTATGAAAACCTGCTGCTGGGCCACTCCAGCTGGTACAGCTACGCCGCCACCATGCGGATCTACAAACACTGGGACTTCAGGGTTTCCGATCCGCGCGTCCACACCGGGCAGATGTCCTTCAGCAGCTACCCGGGTACCAAGCCCAGGCTTAACTCATCCACATGTCACAACACCTGCAGATTTTACTCTGAGCCCACTGAACGGTCGGTCCTCCCGGCTGTGAGTCACAAAGTCAACATGAGCTGAAATGCATTCCCTCCCTGACGGAGCCGTCAGGGAGGGAACACCTGAGGAGACTCAGGTGTTCAGGCCAAAGATTTGTCAAGTAAAAAATCCTCTTACGGGCTCCACTCCATCAGAACCAAAGTGGTTTTAAGGAGCTATTTATAGAGCGCAGCAGGCGAGGTTTTCACTTTACTTTATTAAACTGAAGCAATGAAACGGCGCAGGAATCCAGCAGGATCCGCCATCTTGTTGCTCCGGTTATTGGTTGTTTGTAATAACTTTAATGTTGTGGCTTTTTCTTTACTTCTTTACCTGCATGGTGTTTGTTTCCTGACATTTCTGGATGTATTATTGTCAGTAATGTCTTGCCATATTCTGTGTTGTTCGTTATCTTGGTGTCTCGTTTTATTCCTTTGTTTTTAGTCTTTTAGATCAGTTTTAGTCTTTTCTCTCATTTGGTTTGTAGACCTTGTTGTGTTTTAAGCCAGGGGGTCCAAAGTGTGTTCCGAGGGCCGGTTGTGGCCCTTTGACTGAATTTAACTGAATTTGACTAACCCTAACTGCAATTCAATGATGTAACAAGGATAAAACTATTTCCAACATAATTTTCACCAAATGTAAAATGTTAACACAAAGTATTTTTAAGTCTTTTTATAAACATGCAGAATCAAGTTTATCCAGAGATTTTTACTGAAAAGTTGAATTTGCTGAACCCAAACCAGATTTTATTTTTAGGGTTAGGGTTAGACTTTCCAAATATTAGCAAACATTGTGGAAGAAAGTGACCCAAATACTGACATTTTATTTATTTGTATTTTTAAGCTTAAGTAGTTACAAATCTGCAGAATGTGACAGCTTTTTATCCAATTAATTAAGTGTCAGATTAATAAATTACTAAAGTAATCTTTAGCTGCAGATGTTATATTTTGTCAGTGTGTCCCGTTTCTACTGCCACCCTGGGCGAGTGTCCATGTCAGAAACCGCCACTAGGTGGCGGTGTAAACCTTTGAATCCTGCTTATTTGTCTTGCTTTATTTGAAAATGTTGCAGTAAGATGTCAGACTAACTCCTCCCCGTCCTGCAGGGTTCCTCATGTCTCTGGATGATTTCTACCTGCTGGGCAGCGGCCTGCTGATGACGCAGACCTCCATCGGCGTCTTCAACGCCTCGCTGTTCTCGCGGCTCAGCCCACGCCGCCTGCTGGCCTGGCAGAGGGTCCGCCTGGCCAACGGCCTGGCCCGCAGCGGGGAGGAGTGGGCGCAGCTCTTCTCCAGATACAACTCAGGTGGGATCTGAGCCACAACCAGACAAAATTCACCTGATGAACAAACGGGATGTTTAAAGTCACAATCAGACTCAGCCTGCAGCTTCCCGTCCGCAGCGAACCGACTTTATAGTTAAAATATGAAACTTGCCATTTTACAGCACAATTAATATAAATGTAAATTATACACATTTTAAGTTATATAAACTTTCTTTAAAAAACAAGAAAAATTCTGCATTGAAGAGTCAAAACTTTGCAGGAGAAAATTCAGATATTTTCTTGAAATTTTTTTTTTCTTTTTGACTTTTCAATTTTAAATATATTTTCTAGAAAAGAGAAAATCTTTGATTTTTTTCCCCTGAAAAGTTCTGACTTTTCAAAAAAATACTTTTTCCAGAAAATGTTCATATTTTCAAACTGTAAAATTTTCTTGTTTTTTCTAGAAAACTCCTAAATATTTAGAATTTTTATTCTATCTACAATGTCGCAGAAATGGCTCCTGGTCTTCAGCCTAAAGAGAAATCCTCCAACCGCTAAAATCTGACGCCTCCATCTTGTTTCCATCTGGTGAAGAAGGAAGTTGCTCTCAGTGTCTTCAGAGGTTTTTGTGTCGTTTCCTTCAGTGGTTCTTGGTGCAGCGCCCCCACAGGCCAGGAGGGGAACAGGTTGGTCTGACTCAGAGAACCTCAGTAGCTGGAGGTGGAGCAGATGTTCTGGTTCCAGTAGAACCGGGTCTAACGGACCATCAGGAGGAAACAGATTGAGTGTTTTGGAGTCTTCCCGTCTCCGCCTCACTGAACATGATGGTGCTTGTTAGCTCTGCTGGGAAAGTCTTATGCAAGAAGCAGCCAGAGACGCCTACAATAGTTTCATAATTGTTTGTTCTTCAGGTGAATCAGAAAATTCAGATTTTCAGATGTTGGAGTCACATTTATCATGTTGTTGCTATAGAGGGACGGTAAAATTTATAGATTTCCCCTGAATTACTGAAGCTCTTTAAAGTGGTCAGGGTTAGTATATATTTATACTAGTATAAGTACTAGTATAAATATATACTAGTATTGGTATAAGCTCCATTAGTATTGATGGACCTTGAATTTTGCTTGAATTCTGATTTTGTTTCTACGTGTTTCATTGTGATTTTATGTGACGGACCAACACAAAACGATGAGTAGCTTTAAACAATTAAATCTGAAAAGTTTGTGTTCATAGATAACATCGTTAAGACCTTCACCATGTTTTACTACCCTGACGTGGTTGTTTGGAGGAACGTTTGTCGGTTTGCTGTGTTTTCTGACCAGCAGGTTCATGTGTTCATTTTAGAGGAACTCTAACCACAGCAGGGGGTCAAACCGCGGTCCGATTCGATTCTGTTCAGGGTTGTTCCACTTTGGGCGGACCGTCCTGACCCAGAACAGATTGTTTTTATAACTTGTAGCTTTCTAGCCAGTTTTTGTTTGTTTGTTGGTTGATGTGAAGGATTTACTCCCTAACAGGTGCTGGTTTTTGTTCTTCTATTTTCTAATTTATCTGGTAAATGTATTGCTTTTGTTTGGAGGAAGTAACTTGCTTTATTTAATATTTTGTTGTCATCGTTCTCTCTTCTTCTTGAGGTCACCTGGTCATGTGTTGCCATGGAAACGCACCCATGAGCAGTGCTGACAAGGTGTTTCAATCAGCTTCACTGGGAGAATCCGTTGAGAGGGAGAGGAGATGTTTTGGATTTTGTTTGGACAAATTGGTTTTGATTTAGTTTTGAAGTTGTTGGAGTTAATTGTAATCATGTAATATTTTTCTAGGAATATAGTTTAGTACAAATGTGTTTTTTATCTTTCTGGAAATGTAAATGCTGTCTCTACCCCTTAAAAGGAGCCGATGCTTTAAGAGCCAGGTGGTTCAGACCAGAGGGAGAGTTTTTCCTCCTGTTGGTTGAATTCATGCTGTGACCTGGAATGAAATGTTTGAAGAACGGCATGAAGAAAAAATAATTCAGAGCTCTACAATTTCTGGATTATGTCTGATTTGTCATCACAAACCAACAGTTGCTATTTCCACTTTGTGTCAACAAAGTGGAAATACTTTGTTGATCCATCCATCCATCCATCCAAATGGATGGATGGATTTTTTGCGTCCAACTTCTAAAAAATTTTTATTTTCTTTGACATTTTTGTAAATTTTATAAAAGCTAGAAGGATCTTGAATAGAAAAGCATGCCACACTTTTCAGATCCGTTGTAAACCTTTTGGAATCGGTTTCCTCGCTGTGCTGCGACGCTCTGGGTTTCAGGAACCTACAACAGCCAGTACCTGGTTCTGGACCTGAGCAGGGTTCTGCTGCGCCGCAGCATCCGGGCCGGAGCGCTGACGGTGGTGGAGCAGATTCCCGGGAACGTTGTCCACTCCGACCAGACTCCGGCTTTACGCAGAGGTGGGCGGCCGCCTCCGTCTCTGGTTCTCGATTCGCTCGGTCTGGGTCGTTCACCTGGCCTCCCGCGTCCGGCAGGTTACTGGCCGTCCTACAACGTCCCGTTCCACGCCGAGGTCTACGCCCAGAGCGGGTACGCCACCATGTGGGGGCGCTACGGAGAGGACTTCTCCTACGACCTTTGCCCCCGAGCCAAAATCCTCCGCAGAGACCAGGCCAAGGTGTCCGACCTCAGCTCCCTCAAATACATCATGAGATACAACAGTAGGTCTAACAAAAACTGTATTCATAATGTATAATCACCGGACATTTTATTAGGTACACCAGCCCCACTGTGTGTTACGTAAGGAGTGAATGAGCCAATCACAAGTCAGCATCCAGACGGGCTGAAAGCGACGCGCTGAGGTCCAAACTGAGCATCAGGATGGAGAAGGAAGAAGAGTTCAGGTGTTTCTGATGGTTGTTGCTACCAGACGGCTAAGGTTACACTGTAAAAAAACTAGAAGCAATATCTCTGGTTTATTTAGCCTGATATAGAGAAAGTCATATAGAATAGAATATACTTTATTGATCCCCAATATCTTCAACATGTTATTTGTACATTTGTAAATATTTAATTCACAAGCTAAATTTTTAATTTCCAGACTAAATATTTAGTTAGCAAGTCTAACATAGTAAATATTTAGCTTCCTGACAATATATTTAGTTAAAGCTAACATGTTGAACTGAATATTTAGAAGGGAAACTAAATATTTAGATTCTGAACTAAACATGTAGCTAAAGCTAACATGGCTAAAGCTAACATGTTGAACATGTTAGCCGAAAACAGGATATGTTTTCAGCTAACATGTTTGCAAACAAAATATTTAGGTAAAATTTAAATATTTAACTAGACATTTAATTTTACTAGGCATTTATTTTCAAAACTAAATATTTAGGTCAAAGGTAAATATTTAGCTAATATGCAAATTAGTTTGGCAATGAACAGAAGTGGACTATCAAAATAAAAGCTGGGTTCTGCTGACCTCTATATAAACTCCTGCTGCAGGTGAGACTGAATCGCTTCAGTCGTCACTAAAATAATGTTTTTTTTATCCATTATTTTCCTCTCAACATGTCTAACTTGTTTGCTGAAAATAGACGTATTGTTTTAGCGACTATGCAGACATTCGCTACTGTAAACTGGACAACTAAAACCCAATCCGGTTCTGTTCCAGACTATAAGAGAGATCCCTACTCCAAGGGCCATCCATGTAAGACCATCTGTTGCCGTAACGACCTGAGACCAAGGAGGCCACGCCCAGGAGGTTGCTATGACACCAAGGTCAGAGCATGTTTCAGTTATAGCCAGAACACCTTATTTAGGAATGTTAAATGCATATAGGTTGTTTTCCCTACTGATAGTCCAGTAGACTCGGTTCTATTGGGACCAATACTGCTACATTTGATGCAAAACATCCAAAACAAACCGCTAGCCTAGCGCTAGCAGCAGAAATGGCTCCTGGTCTTTAGCCAAAGACTAAAGAGAAATCCTCCAACCGCTAAAATCTGACGTCTCCATCTTGTTTCCATCTGGTGAAGAAGGAAGTTGCTCTCAGTGTCTTCAGAGGTTTTTGTGTCGTTTCCTTCAGTGGTTCTTGGTGCAGCGCCCCCACAGGCCAGGAGGGGAACAGGTTGGTTTGACTCAGACCAGAGAGAGACAGAACCACAGCAGATGGAGGTGGAGCAGATGATGGAGTTCTGGTTCCAGTAGAACCGGGTCGACTGGACCATCAGGTGTTAAACGTCCATAGGGAGTCGTGGCTGATGAGATGAAAGATGGCGTTTCAGCAGGCGTTTCACCTTCTCTGAAGTGCTGTTGCGCTGACGCTGCATCACAGTAAATCAGCATTTGCAGAGTAAGGGTGTTTACAGTAAATCAAGTCAGAGGATCAGAGCTGTCACAACAGATTCTGGTTACAGGGTCGTCTGCAGACTGCGTGATTTAGATGAAGCTTTCTGTAGAAGATGACCTCACAGCTGGGCACCAGAAACTTCCACTGAGGAGAGTTACTTTCTCTCCAGGTGACAGACTACCAGATGGCCCTGCAACTGACCGCCGAGGCCGTAAACGGGCCCACCACCCAGGGGGGACTCCCCCCGTTCTCCTGGAGGTCCTTCAACCTCACGGCTCATCAGGGTCTCCCAGAAACCTACACGTTTCCCTTCGTCACCATGAAGCCCACGCTGCGCCGGCCCTGAGATGTTGGCCAGCTAAGGCCAGCTAACATTTTAGCTAACATTTCCGCCTGTTAGCTGGCCTGTTAGCTACAGCTAACAGGTGGCTATAGCCAGCTAACATTTCCGCCTGTTAGCTAGCTATAACTAGGTTTGGATGTTAAGCTTTTTTCATTAAAAAAAGTAATCCTTGTTATTCTTTAACCATCAGGAGTTTCTACCTCTGTGTCTTTTCTTCTGTATAAAAATATTTTAAATGTTTCAACTACATTGAAAATAATTTCTACTGAACACAGCGACCAAGTGACTTAACAGGTTTTGATCCAGTGAATACAGTTTTTTAATCTCTCTAGATGTTTTGTCTTTCTCAAACCTCCTTCCTGTGCTGCTGATCTTCTTGAGTTTCTGACCCAGAAAATAAATTAGAATAAAAAGTATTTGGTAAAAATGAGACTCAAGTATAGAGTAACTGCTTGATCAAAATAAATGATATAATAAAGAAGAAAATACAAATGAATGTGCAAAGTCAGGTATTCTAAAGAATAAAAATAAAGAATAACATAATCATAAAATAAATTCAAGAAGAAGGAACACATTTCTAGATTTTTTTCCACAACGTAAAGTCACAGATCCATTCTTCACTCTTCAACAGCCAAACTAAAGTGGGCAGCACTGAGATGTTTTAGGCCAAATAATACAGAATTAAACATAAAACATAAAGAAAGCACTGATAAGAACCAATTTACACAGTTTATTAAGTTGTTGTTTACTCTGTAAAGCTTCCTGAAAATATGCAGTCTAAGAATTTAATAATGGAGAACTTTTTAAACTTTTCAATAAGACCCATATTTTGTTTTTCTTTGTCACCCTTTAAACAATTTCACATTCAGTCAAGTTTGTAGTTTCTAAATTCCTTTGCTATGATTTAGTAATGTGATCGCAGAGTCCCCCGGGTGCTACGTGACTGAGCTTGTTAGCTTCGCTGTGGACGTTCAGGGTGGAGGTAGAAAAAGTTGCTTCAACTGTATGTTTACCACGCGTATTTTATCATTGTAGGGTAAAAAAATAACACTGTAACCATATAGAATGTTAAATAAATGTTTATCAGGTTACTACTCAGTTTTTTTTAATTTTCTTTTAGGAGTATTTTTACTATGCTATCCTTTTTCTTATTGATTGTTACTTTTTGTTATTTATATGAGTTATTGTCATTTTCATCCTTAATATGGCACAATTTCCATTTTATATTTTGGTCTGTCTATGTAATTTTTAAATGTTAAATGACTGATAAGTTTATCAGTAACTTGGTATTAAGTAGACTTATTTTTATTTTTTACCAAATACCTTTTTACTTGTGTAATTTACTTTTACTTGAGTAAAAATATGTCAAAGTACTGCTACTTTTTCTTCAGTGCATTTTTTGTAAACTCTACCCACCTCTGCTTTCAATTAAATCAGCATTCCCGTATTAAAATGTAAATGTCTAATCTTCAATATCGTGTTTTAATTGGCTGGAAGCAGAAAGTCATCATAGTTAAACACATTACCGTCATAGACATGGTTACCGTTACGATCTAAAACCGGAAATGTGGCTCTTATTTTGAAAGAGCATTTTCGGAAGTAGAATGTTTGCTTCGGGAAGCTTAACGTGGCTGATATTTGAGCTAATGCAGCTTGGGGGCGGGGCTTGCGCTACCGTTGGCGGACAGAAGGAGCGGAGCCTGCAGTCGGGTTCGTCCGCCTGAACGTCGTGTGTCTGGGTTTCCAACAAATGGCAACAACCGCAGAAGACGTGCGGGAACCGGCGGACGTCGCCGCACCGTCCACGCACCTCAGCGGCACCCAGCACCACAACAGCAACAACAACAATAACAACAACAACAAAGACACAGAGGCGGCGGCGGGGGAGAGCGCGACCTCCGCCACCTCCGCAGCCTCCGAACCCGGCGGAACGGCGGCGCAGAGCATCGGCAACGGCTCGGTCATCAACAACAACGGGGGGGACAACGGCAAGTGGGTCCGGCTGAACGTCGGCGGAACGGTGTTCCTCACAACGCGGCAGACCCTGCTCAAGGAGCAAACTTCGTTCCTGTACCGGCTGTGCCAGCAGCAGGACCTGCACTCCGACACGGTGAGTCCGGCCGGGAAATGTTGATCCTCGGAAGGCGGTGAGGCACAATAGTTACACAAAATAACAAGGAGTTATGGAGAGAGAATGCATGGAAAGTTCAATGACCTCCCAGAGGTGGCAGAGGTGATGTGTTCAGGTCCTGTGGGACATTTGCATTTGACATCCATCGGGTTTGAAGTGTTGTTTATCACCACATATCTATCAGCTGTTGATTTGTTTTCATTCTCTTAGTAAAACTGGTATTAGCGCACAGCTAGCTAACCAGTAGCTTAAAAGCACCAACAGAAGACTTGAGGTTAAAAGTTTAAAGATACCATCCTGCAGTGGATTTCTTTTTCACCAACTGATGTAGACTGACAGAAAAAACACAGCTGGAAAACTGGGTTTGGATTTTACAAAATATCAAGTTTTTAAAACGTGATGTTAAAGAATAAAGCCCCCAGCTAATTTGGCGGTGCCTGTTTGAGTGGATGACATCACAGAAGGCTGAAGAGTGGAGCTGATCAGCTGGTGTTACTAAACTTTGGACAAAATGTTTTTGTATGCGACCTGAACTCTCAGTCACCGTACTTATCACAGCAGAAAAACACTGACATTGCCTTACTTTGCATAACAGCTTTGCTGTGCAGACGCTTCACTCACATCGGCATGCTTGATATTTAAAAGTGAAACTGACAGGTTGATCTACCTTTGGAATAATTTGTATGATTATTTATTGCTCACAATAAACAATAAATAAATTGCATGATAAATTTAAATGAGCTCCATTTTCAGTTGCATGATTTATCATTTTTCTCTTTCTACCAAAAACTGGTGTTTTGGTCTCAGCTAGCCCTTATTTTGAAGGACAATTTTCTTTACAGAGACTTCATCATTCATCTTGTCTGTTGTTTTATTTATTCTGGATATTTAAAGTGTGTTTCTGTGTCAAATCTTCATTAGAATTTAAAATTTATTGATCTTGGAGAATGTGAGAATAGTCACAAAACAATATCGCTTATCGCAATAACTTCTGGGAGATCTTATCATCCAGCATCATTTATCATAACAGGTCTTTTCACTTTTGACCCCAAAATATGAGGAAAAAATGGATACATAAAATGAGATGAGGATGAAACAACCTTGATCCCAGAATGCATGCACTATTCAGAACAGCCACACAAAGATGTGACAGAACTTTAAATCCCCAAACTGTCGGGTTATTTTTGCTGTTTTCATCCAGTATTTGATCAATGAGCATCAATAAATATGAATACATTTGAAAATGTGAATCAATGCTGACACTGTGGGCAGCTTAGCGATACAAATCACACTTCTGGATGTGACTACTAATATCCTAAAGAATTGCATTACAAATAAAATGTTTTTCCAGAGCATGAATGTTTTGGGGGCTGTGAATGTTGTTATGCAGTTCCAGCCACAGTGATCTAAAAACGGAGTAATTAATAGTTCTGATTGCCACTTTATGGCTATCATAACAGCATTAACTGGCGACCGTCCGCCATAGACAGGACTGGAAGTCCATCTGCTGCTTTTTCTCACATTTACAGCCGTTTGTCAAATTAACAAATTTTGCCAAAAGTTATTGTGATAAACGACAATAATGTTGTTTTGAAACCATTTTCAAGTAACGATTGGTAACAAGAACACATTCTGAAAAATCGCCAAACTTTAAATTCTAACGAACATTTGGCACTGGAACTGGAAGACATTTTAAATATTCAAAATAAACAAAGAGAAACAACAAAATTATTTCTGAAGTCTCTGTAAACACAAATCTTCTCCAAAATAAGTTGAAGACTTTAATCATTCAGTTATTGGTAGAAAAACAGAACAAGAATAAATCATGCAAATGGAAATTGATCTTGCTTTAATTGTTAAATGTCTTTTTTAATGCATCCAGCAGCTTTACTGGTCCTTCTGGTTGACAGCTACTGGCTGTGCTCCAGTTTCACGCATGGCGGCACCAACTGGTGGAATTGGTAGAGATTACCCGTTTTCTGCAGAAATGCCCGGCTGGTGTTGTGTAGGCTGAATGTGAGCTAATATTGTGTGTGTGCAGTCTGTTTCTCTCTCCTCTGTGTGTGTGTGTGTGTGTGTGTGTGTGTGTGTGTGTGTGTGTGTGTGTGTGTGTGTGTGTGTGTTTGTGTGTGTGTGTGTAGCTGGGCTCAGATGGATGAACACGTGCCGCCTCTTCTGCAGGGAGCTGCACAGTCGGTATCCGTGCAGCTGGCATCTTATGGGGACAGAGAGGGAAACCTATTATGCGTCTGCCAGTCACATGGAAGCCGAACGCGCTGAAAGGACTGCAGCATCTCATTAATGCTGCACGTTTCCTTTATGCTGCAGCCTTTGATGTGGATGAGGCTCACAGAGCGCGACATGTCTTTACTGGCGGTGAAAACCTTCGCAGAGTCAGATCATCTAACGATGTTAACGGCCGGAGACGTTATAGATGAACTACCTGATGGTCTGAAGTTCAGCCTCACAGAGCGCAGCAGCAGCAGGAAATATGATAATTAGTGACATTTAGTGAAGATCTATAAACAAACTCAAACAAATGAACATCTTAAACTCGTGCATCATTAAGGAGATTTACAACCCGGCAGGTTAGTGGTTCAATCTGCTGCATCAGAGCCACAGGGAGAAGTTTAGTTCGTCTTGACCTTGCTGGTTGCTGAATGATGATGATGGAAACAGAATCTGGTGTTAAACTCTCCGTTCTGCTCATCGCTTTGGCTAAAACTCATTCATGATCATCTTTAAACATATTCTAGCAAGAGCCTGCCGAACAAATGCTGCGGCAGGCCTAATTTCATTGAAGCATGGATTAATATTTAAACTTAGTAAATGAGAAAAAGACACTTTAAAGTCTATTTGTGGTTCTGCTTTGGACCAACGGAAACCATAAATCGTGATACAGTAAAATATTCCCACCCCATCCTGACGACATTTCTAACAGCTGTAGGAAACACATTAAAATTAAAATGAATTTGCTTGAACTAAAGTTTTCAGCAGCTTCAGAACTTGATGTTTTTTGGCTGCATATTCAGCCTGATGATGGAAATCAACAATTAAAAGAGAAAATAAAAACTAGAATGTTTTGTTTTTCAAAAGTTCCTGCATTAAGAAATTCCCTCTTATCTACATTTACACAGATCTGCTCCAATGTTTAGATTTTCTGATAAATCAGATGTGAAGCTGAACCCAGAGCCAGCAGCAGGGCTCGGTGCAGCTGCAGTGGAAACAGAAATCCCGGGTGTCCTCCACCCTCAGCTCCCTCTGCTCAGCCTGAAGACGCAGCAAAACGCCAAACTCACAAATATGTCACAGAAACACCAGCTGCACCTTTCATTAGCTGCACTGCTACCAACAAACTCCAACCCAGCATATTGTTCACATCCATGCTGTTATTCTCAGTTTCATGCACAAATATTCAGTTAAACTGGGGATGCAAGTTAACGATTGAGTTCATCTTAAGTTGAGTTTTCTCTTGTCAAAAATCGTTTCATAGCAGAACAGTCTGTTTTTTTAATAAGCTAGATTTAAAATAAAATAATCATAAAATTTTAACAGCATTTTGTGTGAGTTGTATTAAATACTGACTGAATAAACAGAAATTGTTTTTTTTCTCCACATTATTTCTTTTAGCCCTGACTTGAGGAGTTGGTTGAGCGTTAATATTTAAAATCTAAACTGCATAAAAATCATCTTGCATCCCAAACAGACTTTCCCGCTCTGCAATGGCCGCCATCTTTGTTTCTGTATTAGCTGGTTCCGCTCCTGGATGACCAGCAGCGCCCTCTGCTGGACGGAGGCCAAACTACCACACTGAAAAAAGGTCCAAGCAGACATTATTAATTGATTGGAAGGCATTTTAATCTAATAAACCATTAACCGACAATTAATAGTAAGATTAATTGTTTGCATCTCTAATTAAATCAATTTATCTGGAGAATTATCCATCTTAGAGGCACATTCCTGTGAATCTGACTGGTATTTTTATTAGTTGTACAAAAGTTTCATCTGTTTTCTAATGTAAATTTGAAAGCAGTCACATGTTTCTTGTTTTGGTTTCAGAATTTTAATTTGTGTGAAGGAAGAATAAAGCTTATTTCTATTTTATTCTTTGTAGTTCCACCAGGATTTTGCAGTTTTTATATATTTTTTGTGATTGAAATCACAGATTTTCCGGTGCTTTAAAAATATTCTTTAGAAATATTTGCAAGGAATTTTGCCATATTTTTTATCATATTGTTTTTTCCTGAATTCCTGATTTTAAGTCAAAGTTTTTCCACTTCCATCAGAGACACGTCATCTTAAACGTGAGGCTGTAACGCTCAGCATTTGCAGGGATTTAGTGTCTTTATTGTGAAGTGAGTGTGGTTTTGCTAACAGTGGCAGAAGGACGGATGGTTTAATGCTCTCACTTCCCTGGTGATGTTTCTGCTCAGCTGAAGAACGAGACTTTTCCTCCTGCTGGGACGGAAACTGAACTCCTGGAGCCCAAATCGAGTTTAGTTTGATACGGGCTCTGCTTTTACTTAAATCTGTTTTATTCTGAGCATTAACCTCTGAATGAACCGTGAACACTTTGGATCGGCCGAAGCGATGGATCCGGAGAACTGCCTGTGGATGCGTGAGTCAGCTAGAAGTAAAAGATCGTCTACATTTAGCAAAGATAATGCATTTAGCTGCAGTTTCTTCCACTCCGCAACCAGGAAGCCTGAAAAGTTGACCTCAGTCTCCAGGAAGATCCGATTTTCAGGCTGCCAGCTAAAGACCAGTCCATCCTCTGAAACACTCAGAGGTGGTTCTGCTGAAATACATCCGATAAGATGAAAACGGTGCTAAATATTTGCTCTCCTGGCTGCAGTTTGTAATTGAACTGTTTAAAATCTTTGTGTTGTGAGTCTGAAGGTTTCTGTCCCAACATAGTCTGGAAAAGTACCAAGTGCACAGATTTCTCCTGAACGCCTCATCAGGCGCCTGCTGTGTTGACCAGAAACACTTTCAGCCATAATTTCCTTTCTTCTCCCACTTTAATGTTTTCATGTTTTAACACCTTTCATCCGCCAACTTCACATTGTATTAATATTTTATCATAGACCACCGCTGAGAGATAAAACAATAGCAGTATAAATCGCAAAAAAAGTTTTTTCTGATGGACATATGACAAGGGGTCGATATAGACGTTTAATATACAGAAAAGCCAATAACAATAAGAGCTGGACCAATCAGCAGCAGGCAGACGCGCTAACAGCTAGTATTAGCTAGCTGTTAGCGTTTGCACATCCAGTTGGCAAGGATCTCACAATAAAGGGATTATAAAAAGTTGTAATGAAGCACATTTACCTGCTCGAACAGAGAGACGCCTCCTGCATCATCACGACGGGTTAAGCTAACCGTTACTAACTCGGATCACATTAGAAACATGCCAAAAAATTCACTAAACTGCTGATTACTGAGGATAAAGTCCAGCTTCATTCTGCTGTGAACTGATTTAGTTTTGTAATCATCCCAGCTGTGACGAGTCCTGCAGGTGGAAACGAGCCGCCGTCGCTTCCTGGCCGGCGCCGCGTGTTCAGACACTACGGAGCCGCCGGTTCAGACGTGTGCTGGAATTCACACCGACGGAAAAACTCACAGTACCACAGGTATCAAGACTTGTCTCAATGCAGCTGAGATGCTAAAATCCAACTGTGCCGCTTCACCTTGAACGCATCGCTGGAAGCAACGAGCAACATGGTGGCGTCTGCTGAGCTGAAGCTTTACTGAACGCTCTCGTGTTAGCTTAGCTTAGGTTAGCTTAGCTTAGGTTAGCTTAGCTTAGGCTACGCTGAGAAATATCAGAAAAATAATGAACAACTGTTTATATATTCAGTCTGCTGTTTTGGACATAAAACCAGTTTCACATAATCAACGTTTACTGCTCAACCTGGCAGTGATTAATTACGGATTATTATAATTAAAAGGAAAATAACGAAGTGTTTATCCCTCATAATTAAGCAGATCAGAACAATCAAACTAAAAATAAAATCAATGCCATTTGTTTGCTTAGGAGTTTTTGTTTCCATCAGAAAGATAATATTTATTGATTATGCAACATTTTTCTTGCCAAATGCAGCAGAAAATGATAAACTGGCCTCCTGGTTTTACCAGCAGCTGGGAGGCTTTTCCTAACCAAACGGGTCAGAACCGCCATCTGATCCACAGCCGCTGCTCTCCACTGAACATGAAAACCAAGTTTTACTGGGACTCTGATTAATTCATTGTAGTTTAATGAAAAACGATCAACAAAATAAGCAACATTTCCCATTTGAAACCTATTTTTCTACTAAATAACTGAAATAAACAGTCATATGAGCTCAACAACAAAAATATGTATAATTTTTAATTGTCTTTGATAGGAACATTCGAACCGATATGAGTCACGTGACCAACCATCAGATTGGAGCAAAGCGGCTTCGTCGTCCATCAATGTTTTTGGATGAGCATCAGATTTATGGACCCACCATAAACCAGCTGATTCAAACCTTTTATATTGAACATTTTATTAAAATACGCCCTGATGAGTCTCATTTGTCTGATTAATTCCCGTTAATGTAACAACCTTTAAACTGGTATTAAACATATTTTCATTAAACCCACAAATGTTTTTAAAAATTGTTTTAATGGTCTGATGTAATATTCTAATTTTAAATATATTTGTATTACCTGTCAGTGTAAAGTCAAAACAACTGAACGTCCATCTGTGTGTAATGTAAACAATGTTAAAAAGTTGATGAAATAAATGGACTTTTCAGTTATATTACAGCAAATGTTTGTATTTTTGATAATAATCTGCTTTTCCAGGTAAATTCTCTGTCATCAGATTAAAGCTGGAAATGTTAACATGTTTTTTTTTCTTGGCTTCCTTTCCTAAACAAATGATTTTTACTCTGCTGCTGCATTTGGTCCTCAAACAGTTTTAGTTTTCAGTTTGTGTTGACCAGTATGGAAAACTTTTCAGAATAAAAATGAAAGAAATCAAATTGTTAGAAAATGAAAGATAAACATCAACATTTCTGATAACTCCCCAAACCAGAAGGTCTAGTTCAAACATTGGTCATCATGCTGCTTGTGCAGCTTTACAGGAATGATTTTATGTTACTCAGATCATGTTTCCAGTAAATAACTGAACCAGAACAATTCGTCTTTGATAGGAAAATTTGGGCCGATATCACATGACGTCCCGATTTAACCACGCCGCGATTATTAAAGATATTAACTATTTCTGCAGTGTGTTCAGCGTAGAGCTGGATAAATATATCAATAATATATATCATAACAAGTGATCAATATTAATAGATAATACAGCTGATATATTCCGTAAGATCCAGAACCACAGGCATTCTGGGAGATGTAGGCAGAGGAAAAACTTTAGCAGCTTGGCCTCTCAGAGCTAGCTAAGCTAGCTGGTAGCATCAACTAACTCACTCATTCTTTGGTTGCCTAGCAACAACCTGCTGGGTAACAGCCGCAGTTTCAGATTTCACTGTTGTGCCACATAACAGCTAAAAGATAAAAGACATGGAGGGAAAACTAAATAAAACAGAAAATGTCATGGCACCAGTTTGGAAGTATTTCAGATATTAAAAACAAAAAAAATCAATAATGATCAATTTAGACTAATATGAAACCCTTACAGCATGATACATTTTTCAGCCATATTATCCATTCCTAGTTCAGGGTGATCTGTTGGGACGGCTCCGATCTAAACCCTGGAATCTGACGGATCAGAAAGTGACAGAACCACAGAGGGGAATCCAGAACAGCCGCCATGACACCTAGAGGGTCTGCTGGGCGCCGGAGACATCTTTGGATCGTTTTCCTGTTAAAATAGTCAAACCATTTCTTCTTCCAATTCTTGCATTTGTTTTGGTTGTATTTACCCAGAATGCCCTGCAGTGTAGTCCACTTCCTGCTTTTGGAGCGATCTCCGGTCCGCTTCGCGTTCATGTCAAACCGAACCCAGACCAGATGAACCGGACCAGGGCTCGTTATATTGAAGACACACTGCGACCTCTGACCCCTCCCATCAGAACAGTTGGGGGTAACTGGGCCGACCAGAACCACAAACTCAGATTCTGAGAGAATCTCTGGATGTTTTCAAGCCGTCAAGTCATGATGACGGAGCGCCGGCCTGTCCTTCACTGCAGCTCTGATTATTTAGGAGGTGTGTGTGTGTGTGTGTGTGCGCGTGCGTGCGTGCGTGTGTGTGTGTGTTGTCAGGCCCCTTTCTCTCTAATCACAGTGATTTCAGAACAAACAATCCCACATGCTGCGTTTCTGAACCCTTCCTCCTGGTTTCGTGTCACATCCTCTCATCCTGTCTCACTAAGAGTCTCTGATTCCCTCCCAACATTTCTAAGACGGTTTCCTGGATTTCTTTTTACTGTTTTCTGTATTTTTCTGGCTGTTTTCTGAGTCTTTCTGCCCAGTTGTCTCCTCCCCGTTTCTTCGCCTTACAAACTGCTGGAGTCCTGATTCATCATTTAACTCAGATTTGTTAGATCAACTAAATAACCTAAATATCTTAAACATTCAGTTTCACAAGCAGGCTGTGATTTTCAGTTTGCTGCAGTTGATCGTTTCTGATGTTGACATTCGACATGTTTTCTGCTGACTAATCAGGTTCTTCTGTTCTTAAACTTCTGCTTGGTTCCATTTCTGCAGCTCAACGGTTTGCATGGTCTGTCATTAATTAATCACATTTTAATCAAACCATACATAAACAAAATCAGCAACTTTTTCAATTCAATGCCCTTTTCAACCAGCTTTAGTTTTAGGAGTACAGAGAGAACTCCTCACTAGTAAATCCATGTATTTAATTAAAATGTACTTGTTAAAGTCCTGGTTTTAGTTTTGTGTGTCTGTGGTTTTATTTTATAGTCTGAAATACTTTGCAGTACTACTCTTAAAATGCTTTTGTTACTTTATGCATTTAAAGTTTAAGTAATCATCTCTTTGAATCCCTGGAAGGTTTGCTTTTAATCCCAGGTTAACAGAAAACCTGTCTTTTCAGCCGTCCTTCCAGGTTATGCAACACGCTGCAAACGCGCCTGTTGTGCTGAAGCTCTAAATAAAAGAGCAGCTTGAGGCCAAAGTTTTTATCTGCCTGCCGAAGGATTCAGTCACATGATGAGAGAACGACTTCTCACTGCTTCAGCTCTAAATATAGAGCAGAAAAATATTAATGCACTCCAGCCTCTGTCATTACGCAGAGCGAGGGCGAAAATCAGAACATCACTTTTCTCCCATGTAGCACAATGTGACGGCAGGTCCAGTTTTGGACGCAGCGCCCAACAGAGAATGGAGGCGGACTGTTGATGTGTGTGAGCTCAGCTAACCTGCCAACATGGCGGCTTTCAGGGAGAACGGACCACCAGTAGCAACCCAGTACCAGAACCAGCAGAACCAGCGGTGATCCTGGAGCACAGCTGGCTGATTCCAGTTCAGCTGTACATGTCCAGCAGGAAATGATGTCAGCAGGAAGTTCTCCAGCTGCTGGGACAAAAATAGAGGCTGATGTTCAGAGGAAAAGATGAGAGAAGAAGAAAACAGAATCTGAGAGAAAAACTGAAAAACAGAATAAA